CATACTGCACTGGGAAAGCTGCAGTCAGGAACTTCTCCAAAACACTGAGGAGCAATGATGCCAGTTTGAAGACTAGGGTGCATCTGATCCAGGTCATGGTCTTCTCAGTCATTTGTTATACTTCTGAGATCTGGATAATGAATAAGGTAACAACAACAACAACAAATTGATGCCTTTGAGCTGTGGTGTTGGAGAAGAGTGCTGAATATTCCATAAACTTCCAAGAGCACAAACAGATATGTCTTGGAGAAAGTGCAGCCAGCATGCTCCGTGGAGGCAGAGATGATAAAGTTTCATCTCACATTCTCTGGCATGTTGTCAGGAAAGGTTATTCCTTGAAGAAGGACATCATGCTTGGAAAGGTGGAGGGACGGTGAAAGAGAGGAAGACCTGCAACCAGGTGGACTGACACAGTGACTTCAGCAATGCAGATATGAGAATGGCACAAGGCAGGCCAGGGTTCAGACTGATTATGTACAGGGTTGCTCTGAGTCATAGTCGACGTTACAGCACCTAACAACGGCAACATGCATCTGATGCTGGATGGCAAGTAAGGAAGACTGGGCGACAATCGATGTGGTGTTGGCAAACAGGACTGCCCGTGGGCTGCCAAAAGAACCAACAAGGAGATCTAGGAAGACGTGCCACCAGCGTTCTCCTTAGAGGCAAGGATCGTGAGTCCGGTCCCCTGTGGGCTGTTCAGGAAGGGCTTGTCTCAGGAGAGATATGCTGGGAAAGGCTGAAGTTCAGAGACAGAGGAAGATCCTCAACGAGGCCAGCCAGTGACCGCAGCGAAGGGCTCCAGCAGGGACAGTGAGGGTGGTGTGGGGTCTAGCAGGGACTTGGGGGGTCACTTCAGCAGATGCTGGGAGGGTGGTGTGGGGTCCAGCAGGGACAGTGAAGGTGGTGTGGGGTCCAGCAGGGACAGTGAAGGTGGTGTGGGGTCCAGCAGGGAGTTGTGGGGTCACCGTGAATCAGAATTAACTCAACATCACTCAACAACAACAACAACATGAAGAGCCTCAAGGAGATGGGCTGGCACACTGACGCCAACAACAGCACGAGGTGCCACCACTCGAGGGCCCCCCGCAGGCATAATGTGACGGGAGGCAGCCAGTCTTCGCGCAGTCTAACCCTACACGAGCAGAGGGCTCCTGGTCTAGGGTGTCTCCCCCAGACCATAAGCAGAAGTCATGTTTACACCACTGAACTCCTGTCACCTGTAGTGACCTTCCTGTGGAGCCTGGCCCCTCAGCCACATCGGCTAAAGCTTTCCCCAGATCACTCACTGTACCCCACTGTTGTATTATCTCAGAGTCTAACACCAGGTCCTGCCCCTGCCCTGCCAGGCCACATTCTGGGGCATCTCCAAGTAGGCCCTGAAGGGCTCACTTACCAGCCAGCGCCCCGAACAGTACCACGGGCTTGTGCTGCAGAGCCAGCCCGCCCCTGGGATGCAGGCCGGCCGTGATGGATGGCGGCCCCAGAAGCAGCCAGAGGGTGGGGCGGACGACAGATGTGTCATTCAGAGTGAGATTGTAGCCCAGGTCCCACTCGGCATTGTTCCACAGCCGCCGGTGCAGCATGACCTGCAGGACAGGGCTGTTCCTGGGCTGGCCTCACACAGGATCAGGGTGACCAGGCCAGCTGCGTCCCCTCCTACCTCCACTTGCCCATTGCCCTGGCTAGAGACGCCATGGGCCCGCTCCGACAGCAGTGTCAGCCTGCTCCGGCCGTCCTCGATGAAGGCCGCCTGGACCATGGGGTAGTAATTCTGTGGGCACAACAGCACCAGACTGAGAGCTGTGGGGAGGGCGAGGAGGGAGGGCTCATCTCGCACTGACCATCCAGTTTCCTTCCTGACTGGGCGCTCTGCTGCTTAGTGGCCACAGACCCCAGGGGTCAGAACCCCTCAGTATCACCTTCACACAGTGACTGAGTGGTAAGTCAGGTCACAGGACGGGCTGCCCCTCCACGCAGGACGGGCTGCCCCTCCACGCAGGACGGGCTGTCCCTCCACACAGGACAAGCTGCCCCTCCACGCAGGACAGGTTCCCCCTCCACGCAGGACAAGCTGCCCCTCCACGCAGGATGGGCTGCCCCTCCACGCAGGACAGGCTAGGCAGATGGTTGTAGCACAGCACAGAGCCTGAGCTTGCGCCTCAGGGGGGCTGGCCTCAGTCGCACATCCCCCAGCCATGAAGGCAAGGGGCAAGCCGAGCATCACAGCACCCCACCCACGCAGGGACAGAACTGACCTACGCTGCCTTGCGTGCTCACTGGTGTCTGGACTGGCTGGCCTCACAGCTCATGAGGCCCCTGCCCTCCTGGGAGTGAAGCCAGAGTCTGACCTCGGACCAAAGCTGCCATCCTGGATGATGGCCCCATGCACATAATGGTCACCTCACCTCAGAACAACCTCAGTGGGGAGCCTACTGCATGGAGGGGGAAACAGAGGCCCAGATAGGACAATCACCCTGCCCTGCTGACTCCAGACGACATGTCACCCTAGGGCCTTGACCACGGGGTGCCCAGTAGGTGCCTGATGTGGCAAGCGTACCCGAGCTATACTGTTGGTGTATACCCGGTGGGGTCTGCGCTGCATCTGGTACCCGTTGTTGTCGGTGTGGATGACCTGCTGGCTGTCCAGGTCAGTGATGGTACTCAGCACAATCTCCCGGTTCAGCTCCAGGGGGCCCACCTGGTACTCCTGCTCCACCCGACCACACAGCAGCTCCCCATCAGGACCCTCGGGGGGCATGTGTACCAGGCGGGAGGAGATGGTGTACTGGGGCTCAGGATCCTCAGGGGCCCTGCAGGGAGAAGAGGACACAGCCAGAAGCCAGGGTCAACTGAGGGGAGAGGCACGGGGACACAGCCAGCATCATTGAGGGGGAGAGAGGGGACACAGCCAGCATCAGCTCAGGGGGAAAGGAGGGTACAGCCGGAAGCCAGAGTCAGCTGAGGAGAGGAAGGAAAGGGGGACACAGCTAAGAGCCAGCTGAGGTGAGAGGAGAGGGGGACACAGTCAGCATCAGCTGAGGGGAAGGAAGGAGAACGGGACACAGCCAGGAGCCAGGGTCAGCTGAGGGGGATTGGGGGGGGTACAGCCAGAGTCAGGGTCAGCTGAGGGGAATGGAGGGGGGGTACAGCCAGAGTCAGGGTCAGCTGAGGGGAGAGGAAAGGGGGACACAGCCAGGAGCCAGGGTCAGTTGAGGTGGAGGAGAGCAAAGGGGAGGAGAGACAGAAGGTAGGAAAAGGGGAGGGAGTGAAGCAGGAATAGTTAGACACCATCTGGTGCCCCTTCCTCCACCTCCTGGCAGTGGGGTGTGCAGAGAGGAGAGGACGAAGGAGGGAGAGATGGAGGGAGATGGTCAGGAGCCATCTGGTGCTGCAGAGGTGGTGTGGACAAGAGGATGAGGAGGGAGGACAGAGGGAGAGATGGAGGGGGAGTCAGGAGCCATCTGACACCACTGAGGTGGTGTGGACAGGAGGATGAGGAGGGAGAGACAGGATACAGCAAGGAACCTTCTGGAAGCTTCTTCCCTCCTGCCTTCCAGCAGGGATTATCCAGGTGGAGCAGGCAGGGAAGGGGGAGGAGGGAAGAAAGGAAGATGGAGAGGAAGAAGAAAAAGGAGACAGAGGAAAAGGGTGAGTGAGGGAGAGAAGGAGAAAGAGGGGTGAGGGAAGGGGAGGAGGGAGAGAAGAGGGAGGGTGGATGGAGTTTTCCTGGAGCACGTGAACAGGACCCCTGAGGACACTGGGTACGAGGATGGGAGTGCAGCTTGCTGACAAGAGGACAAGGGCTTCACCACATGGTCTCTGACCTGGCCCTGAGCAAGGAGCCAGAATAACCCAGTGGACGAGCAGAGCCAGCCCTCGCCCTTGCCCTCGCCCTGCCCTCCACATCCCACCGCACACACCTGTAGAAGTACTGCCGGACTTCAGTCAGCAGCTTCCCAGTCACGATCTCCATGCTCACAGCTCCCCAGGCAGGCACAGCTGCCTTGTGGGGGGAAAATATGTAGTTGTCAGAAACGGGGCCCTGCTTCACATTGCTGTTGGCATGATATTCCAGGAACTCCTGGGTTACACGCACGGTGCGGTTACTCCAGCTGCAGAGGAAAGAAGACTACACGGTCATTCCTGGGGACCAAGCTCACCGCTCTTCCCAGATGTTGCTGAGCCAGGGCAGAAGGACCCACCTGCTACAGGGTCCCCATCAGGCCTGCTGGACCCCACACTGTGCCTACAAGGTCTTCAGCCTGGTGACCTGGTCCCAGAGCAGATACCAGGTCATGAGGACAGATGCTCATGTGGGTAAGGCTAACCATCAAATAAAGGAGCGAGGGTGGACAAGCAGGCTGAAATGTGATTCAGGCTGAGAAAGGGAAGGTCAGCCACAGATAATGGGGGAGGCTTCTCTTAGATGGTCAGTTGACCTTGCTACCATCAACAAAGAGCTGCTGAAGGAATGATCACATGAATGAATGGATGGATGGGTGGGTGACTGAGTGGACAGATGGACAGATGGATGGTAGGGTGGATGGAGCAGTGGAGAGATGGATGGATGGATGTTTGAGTGGACGGATGGATGGTTGGGTGCATGAATGAATGGATGGACAGATGGCTGGGTGGATGGATGGACAGATGAATGCATATGTGGATGGATGAATGATTGTATGCATGGATGTAGGAAAGGATGTTCTCATGGTTGAGTGGGTGACAGATTGGTAGTTGTGTGGGCAGATGGACGATTGGGTGGTTGGGTGAATGGATGAATGGATGGGTGGTTGACTGGAGGGATAGGTGGATAGGTGGATGGATGGATGGTTGGGTGGATAGATGGATGGATGGATGAACAGATGGTTGGATGGGTGGGTAGATGGAAGGGAAGATGGATGGAAGGATGGTTAGGTAGATGGATGAATGGATGAATAGTTGTGTGGATAGATGGATGGGTGAGTGGATGGATGCATGGTTAAGTGGACGAATGGGTGGTTGGTCGGTTGAATGGATGGATGTGTGGCTGGGTGGTGGATCAATGGAAAGGCTGATGGATGGATGGTTGGGTGGATGGATGGATGGATGGATGGGTAAAAGGATGGTTGGCTGGGTGGATGGATGGATGGGTAAAAGGATGGTTGGCTGAGTGGACAGATGGATAGACAGTTGGGTGGATAGATGGTTGGCTGGATGGTTGAGTGGATGGATAACCGGATGGGCTAATGGATGGATGGATGGATAGATTGATGGATGGGTGAGTGGGTGGGTGGATGGATAGATGGAAGGATGGATGGATGGGTGGATAGACAGATGGTTGAGTGGATGGCTGGCTGGCTGGGTAAATGGCTGGCTAGCTGGCTGGATAGATGGATGGAGGGATGGATGAATGAGTGGCTGGCTGGCAGGGTGGTTGAGTGGATGGATGTATGAACAGTTACATGATGGTTGAGTGGATGGATGGACAATTGCGTGGATGAATGAGTGGTTGTGTGGATTTAGGCAGGGGTGAGTGGATGGGTGGTTGAATGGTGAGATAGATGGTTGGGTGGATGGATGGATGGATGGATGCAGGGTTGGATTTATGGATGGAAGGATTAATGAAGGGATGGGTGGTTAGGTGGATGAATGGATGGATGAGTGGTTTGGTGGATGGATTGATGGATGTTTGTATAGATAGGTGGATGGATGGATGGATGGATGGATGAATGAATGGGTGGGTGGGTGGATGGATGGATGGATGGATCGACGGAAATGTTGATGGATGAACGGATGGTTGGGTGGATGAACAGATGACTGGATGGCTGTATGGAAGGATTGATGATTGATGGATGGTTAGATTGTCTGAAGGATGGATGGGTGTTTGGGTGGATGGATGGAAGGAATGATGGGTGAATGGTTGCGTGGATGAATGGATGGATGGGTGGGTGGGTGGCTGAGTGGATGAATGGAAGGGTTGATAAGTGAATGGATGGTTGGATGGATGAATGGATGTAGGAGTGGTTTGGTGGATGGAATGATGGGTAGTTGTATAGATAGAGAGGTGGGTGGATGGATGGGTAGGTGGATAGACAATGGATAGATGAGAGGTTGAATGGTTGGATGGGTGGGTGGTTGAATGAATGAATGAAAGTATGGATGGATGGTTGAATGAATGAATGGATGGATAAATGTGTGGCTGGGTGGAATGATGGAAAGGTTGATGGATGAATGGAAATTGGGTAGATGAACGGATGGAAGGATGGATGGATGGATGGAAGGGATGATGAATGAATGGATGGCTGGGTGGATGGATGGCTGATGAATGAATAGATGGTTAGTTGGATGGATGGAAGGGTTGAAGGATGAATGTATGGTTAGATTGATGAATGGATGGATGGATAGTTGGGTGGATGGATGGATAGAAGGGCTGATGGATGGTTAGACTGATGGATGGATGGTTGGTTGAGTGGATGGATGGAAGGGTTGATGGGTGAATGATGGTTAGGTGGATGGACTGATGGATGGCTGTGTAGATGGCTGGATGGCCGGGTAGAGGGTTGTGTGGGTGTATAGGTTAGTGCATTGAAGATGGCTAAAGTAGGTGAGGGGTAATTGGGTGAATGGAAGTTTAGATGGGATGGACCAATGAATGTGTTAGTGAACAGATAGATGGATGAATAGCTAGGTGGGCTGGTGAGTAGGACTGGATGATTTCCAAGGTCCCTTCACACTTCAAAGCCAGTGTGACTATTTTTTTTTTAAATTTTATTGTGACTTTAATGAAAATGTCAAGAAAAGTTGGGTTTTCACCCAGTTCACTTTCTTTTTCATTTTTTTAAAAAAATTTTTATTTTTTATTATTTTTGTGTGAGTGTACCGTCAAATCAAATCTGACTGGTACAGGAGGAGACTGCCCCTCCTTCCCCGGCAGAGCATCTGGTGGATTCGAACTGTGCGCGCCTCTGGGATTGTAGCTGCAGCTCCTTGCCACTAGGCCACCAGAGCTCCCCTCACTTTCTTTTTCATTTTAAATATTCATTCATTGTTGCACGACTCCCTCCTCCTCCTCCTCTCTCCCCCTCCCCAAGTCCACAATGTGACTATTTATTATCTATAGGTTTTAAGTCTGTTTATAAAAGCATATTATGTGACTATTAGAACCCTCTCAACTCCTTCAAGTCCTCAACACCTCGTTCATATTATGTGAATATTACAACCCTCTCAACTCCTCCAGAAATCCTCAACACCCCATTTTCTATGGGTCAGTAGCCCTGGGTTGAAAAAGGACAGGAAAACCTTCCTGAATTGTATACCTTAAAGTAAAGATCGTCACTATGGAAGAGCCTGCTGCATCACCTGGTCCTTCTGAGCAGGTGAGCAGAGCCCAGGTGGCGTGTGACACAGCAGGCTGAGGTGCCCCTAACCTTGCACCAGCGTGGCCCCCTCACCTGTCTCGGATGCTGTACATCATGTTGGTGTCCTGGTCCAGAAGCACAGTGTAGCAGTCATTGGCCACGGACACCAGGCGCCTGCCCCCACGGCTGGCACGTCTCTTTAGCCTCTGGCGAAACTGGGTAGTGTGTGCCAGGGTGGCAGCTGGCTCCCGGACGCCCTCCCAGGTCCTCACGGTGGGCCTGATGCTGTAGCGTTGGTAACTGAGGCCTGGGATCGTGGCCAAGAAGTGCAGTTCAAATGCAGATGGAGCCACCCCTGAGTTCTGGACCTGTAAGGCCAACAGGATAGAAGGACATGGGCACCATGGCCAGAAGCCTGGAGACTCATGAGAATCCCAGCCTCACACCTCCTGTGGGGGTTCCAGTCCCGGGGGAGGAGTGTTCTCATCTCCCCAGAGTCCCAGCCTCACATCTTCTGTGGGGTCCCACCTCAGGGGAGCAGTGACTTCGTCTCCCCAGAACCCCAGCCTCACATCTTCCATGGAGGCATCCCACTCCAGGGGGGAGCAGGGTCTCCTCCGCTCAGCTGTGCTGTGTTTTTTATGGAGCCTGGCATCACACTTTGGAACTCCCAGGCACACTAGCCCCAGGTAACCCTCCTACCCCCTGGTTCCCTCCAAACCTTCACTTGTGCAGACGGACAAGCTCAGCATCTCCCACTGTCCTTCTCCCTCCCAAAGGGAGTGTCACAGATTGAATGGGTCAATGAAATGCGTGCTGGACACCTAGTCCCTAAACCTGGGGACATAATCCCATTGAGGACAGATTTCTGCATCATGTAATGAGACCGTGTCTGTGCAGACTGTGTATTAAATCCACTCACCGTGGCATCCAGAAAGAGCAGGGCAGACACAAGATGTATATAGGAATGGAGGGCAGGCCACAGGCCACGAGAGGGACAGGGAACACGAAGCCCAGAGATGCTGACACGGGGGTTCGCCCAGAGCAGATGGATGGCCTTCCTCCAGGGATGGCCCTCACACATGGACTTTCGGCTCCTTAACTGTCCTAGCACCATGGTGAGTGGAGAAATGGTCAAGGCTGTCGAGGACTTCACTGTCTGTGGCTCCACAATCAATCCCTTTGGAAGCACCAGTCGGGAAATCAAACGGCACACTGCCCTGGGCAAATCTACCGCTAAGGACCTCGTCAAAGCACTGAGGAGTAGGATCGTCTTGTGACTAACATTTCACTCAGCCCGTGACCGCTGTTAGGAAACAGGACTGACTGGGGTGGGGGGCACAGGAAGAGTGGACAGAAGATGAACCCTGCACTGGAACAGATGAGGGGAAGGGCTGTCTGGGCGGCATGCACGATGAGGTGTCCCGTGCATGGTGGTTAATCTGGAACCCGAGGTGCATTACAAAGTGAACTGGGTGGGGGGGAAGGAGGAGGGAGGAAGATGCATCAGTGGGCAGATGCCAGCCCAACTTTTCTGGAAACTTCCAAGACAATCACAGCACAAAAATGTAAAGTGCTGAAGGACAATGGTAATGGTCTACAGACCAACATGTGCCTCACCCAACCAACAGGGTTTTCATGGTCTCCTGAGCATGGGAGGGGGACTTGGGGACCAGGACGGAGCACCTCAGCGAGGTGTCTCCACAGCCCTGCTCCCCACTCCAGGCCTCTCTGAGACCCCAAGACCTGCACCTGGGCCCGGTCAGTCCTTCTCCAGCACACACAGGCCTCGTGCTGGTGGCTTCCTCTTGGCCAGGGCCTCACAGGTCCGTCCCCCAGTTCCTTCCTGCAGGCCCAGCCTCGCTGTCCCCTCCCCTCCCCTCCCCTCCTACTCCGCTGCCCCCTGCAGCTATGTCCTCTGTTGTCCCAGCTTTGTCCAGGCTGTCTTCTCCTGTCACCTGCCTACCTCACCGGTGGGGGAGGGCACACCCCTAGGGGAAGGGCTAGTTGCTGGGGACAGTTCTGCTCACACGTCCCCCTGGGCCGGGTGCCTTTCCTGGCTCAGTCCGTTCTCTGCCCGCAGCCTCCCTCCTCAGCCACCCTTGTCCAGCCACGCCCTCAGCACAGCCAAGTCCTGTCCCGGTCATCTGTCCCCCTCGACTGTCACTCTTGTCAGGCGTTTTCTTGCTACAGACACTTTCTCATCCTAGTCACCCAGTTACACCTATGATTTCTGTCAGGCTGACTGCCAGACCCAAGCTGGGGGTCTCAGACCACAGATAGGAGCCCCAGAAACATGTGGCTTGGTCAGTGACACCCCTTGTGCCGACGTGACTGGGATCTGAGCTCTGCCCGACACAGCCACACCAGGCCCCAGTTCCCTCTTGCTGGGCAGGGACAACGTGAAGGGTGCGTGTAAGCAGGGCTCTCAGAGCGCCGCACGTCCATACCTGTGCAGGAACGGGACGGCCTGACTCGTCTGTGACACTAACTTGTGGGGAGCCAACAGCCAGGGTGACAATGGTAGTGACAGTCCAGGCCAGTGGGTTGTACACCACAGCAGTGTGGACACCAGGATCCATGCCTGCAGGGAAGAGAGACACCATGGCCCCACCACCCACCTGACCACTCAGGTGCCCCTCAGAGTCCTAGGGCAGACTGTTCACACCCACAGCGAGTGACATCTCTCACTCCTCACCACGGGTGGTGCCTGACCGAGGCAGCGCCATGTAAAGTCCCCTCAGTGAGGACTATCGCAGTGGAAGCCCCTCAGAGTAAATGCCCCTCCGTGAACGCTGTTCAGAGTGAGTGTCCATCAGAGTGAACAATGCCCCCCAGGACGAACGCCTCCCCCTCCCAGGACATCTCCACGCCTGCTTACTGGAGTTCGCTGTTGTGGCCTGCTGCTGCCCCTCCGCAGACCTGGCCGTGACAATGGCCGCCATCAGCTTCCACACACTCAGCATCCCTGCGGCCAGGTGCTCCTCGTACATGTCTCTCACCTTGGGGGACTCCGTGCCGGTGATGGCATCGTGATGCTGGACCTGGACCCAAGGTGGGGAAGAGCAGAGTCACGGTCCCCTCTGTTGCTCACCTGCCACCGACCTGTCCTCCCTACTCTGCCCATTTCACCGGGTAGAGAGGGGAAGGTGGGCACTGCCTCTACATTACAGAAGGGGAAACTGAGGCGCAGAGCTGACAAACTTGCCTCACTTTCTCTGAACTTGTCAGAGTCCTCTATCTTGTGAAAAAGAGAGACTGGGAAGACCCAGACATAACACCATTCCGTGCCAGGTCCACTCCGCATGACACATTTTGTGTACTTGGTGAGGCAGCTGTGTGCTGACGCGGGGAGCTCTGCTGAGTGGGGCGGCTGTGTGCTGTGAGCTCTGCTTGGTGGGGCAGCTGTGCTGATGCGGGGAGCTGTTTAGTGGGGCGGCTGTGCTGATGTGGGGAACTGTTTAGTGGGGCGGCTGTGCTGATGCGGGGAGCTGTTCAGTGGGGGGGTGCTGTGTGCTGTGAGCTCTGCTTGGTGGGGCGGCTGTGGCTGATGTGGGGAGCTGTTTAGTGGGGCGGCTGTGTGCTGTGAGCTCTGCTTCGGGTAAAGTGACCAGCAGTCACCAAGGCTGGACAGGCTTCAGTGGAGCTTCCAGACCACGGCAGCCTGGAGCTCCACTTCTGGAAAAGTCAGCCAATGGGAACCTCTGGAGTGGCAGCTGATGTTTGTCTGATCTAGTCTTGGAAGATGAGTCCCTCAGGATGGGGGGGCGCCCCCAGTGCAACCGGACAGGAGTCGCCTCCTCAAAGTAGTGAGGGCTAGTAAGACAGGCAACACACGGGGCCTGCAACAATGGGGGCGTCGATCCAGAGACCCTGTGAGGGGGCTCAGACCCAGAGACCCCCGGGAGGGGGCATAGACATAGTGGCCACCGTTGGGGAGTGTAGACACTATTTAGCTACAAAAACACCCAGCCTCTGTGAGGGGGTGTAGATACAGAGACCCCCGTGAGGGGGGTGTACACTCAGTGACCATGTGGACACCCAGCCCCCGTGAAGGGGTGTAGACTCGGAACAATAAGAGAGGCGCCACCTCCTGACAGGGGAGCCCAGGCCAGTGGTGAGGAGGGAGACCCCCAGGAGGTGGCCTGGACAATGGCTGCCCATAAGTGCAGCCACGGTGACCTTGGGGCACCTTTCCCACGAGCAGGTGGTGCGGGACTGGGCAGCTCGCCTCCTGTGCACGGGGACTGCTGTGGGTTGCAAACATTCCACGGCCCCTCGTCCTGGCCCTGAGGCCTCTGGCATCTCGGCTGGGAGGTCGGTCCTGCGAACCCAGCCAGCAGTGTCATGCGAAGAAGTCCTGGCCCGGCTCCTGAGAGGCCACAGTCCAGAAAAGCCTGTGGCCGGTTCTCCACAGCCACTCACGGGGGCTGGGAAGCAGTCAACGACAGCCAGCAGCTGGACCATGCGGCGGGCACCCCACAGCGGGCCAAGGCGTCAGGCAGGGCCACAGGGAGGCATGTCCAGCAGACTTCACGGCTCCTCCGTCACACAACAAGGCCTCAACTCTGCAGAGATGATGCAGCTAGGAGGCCTCGGTCCAGCGCTGTGAGTGGAGGCCTCGGTCCAGCCCTGTGAGTGGAGGCCTCGGTCCAGCGCGGCACTCAGAGGCCTCGGTCCAGCCCTGTGAGTGGAGGCCTCGGTCCAGCGCGGCACTCAGAGGCCTCGGTCCAGCCCTGTGAGTGGAGGCCTCGGTCCAGCCCTGTGAGTGGAGGCCTCGGTCCAGCGCGGCACTCAGAGGCCTCGGTCCAGCCCTGTGAGTGGAGGCCCTGGTCCCAGCTCTATGATCAGAGGTCTCAGCCCTGTGTGTTGTGAGGGGAAGCCCTCAGCCTTTGCATCTATGGAGGGTGCAGGAGGACATGCAGGAATGTGAGGAGCCTTCAGGGGGACCCTGTTACCTCGGAGACGGCCCAGCGGAGCTGCTGCAGCTGCTGCAGGGCCCAGGCCGGGTCCAGGGGCCCACGGGGCGCTGGCCACATGTGGCGTGTGAACATGGACTCGGCGGCATGCAGCAGGGCGCTGGCTCGGCGGGCCAGGACCTTCAGGTTGCTGCGAGACGTGTAGAAACCTGTCCAGGCCTGAAAGGGCTCTGGGGAGCAGAGGGCCAGCTGAGATGCTGGACAGCACCAGAGCTGTCCAAGAGCACAGGGGATGGGGCCCAAGGCAGGGCCAGGTGGACTCCCCGGCTGGGCCTCGAGGGCAGTGGGTTCTCAGGAGCGCCTGGGGGCTGGGCAGAGGGCGAGGGTATTGCCTGTCTCCCCAGGTTCTGAGCTCCCCACCCTTTGCAGGATGCCCAGGGCCCAGACAGACAGGACAGTCCTGCAGGACCACAGTGGTGACAGGTATGGAGGTCAGGTGTGAGCAGTGAGGAGGAGGGACAGCAGGTGTGGATACGGGCTCAGCAGGGTCTGCAGTGTCCAGGGCGGAGCGGGGACAGGGCTGTTTGCTTGTGTCCCGTGGGGTCTGTGGGAGGAGGCAGGGGGGCAGCGCTCACCCGAGGAGTAGGGCAGGAAGTCCTGGGGACCACGCCAGCCCCACGTGGCGTTGAGGTCATGCAGGGCGCTGAAGTAGTCGGCCAACGTGGCATACTGGACCGAGATGCCCAGCTCGGCCGAGCGGTTGTTGACTCGGTCCAGCACGACATCCATGTTGGAGAACTGGACTGAAGCGTTGAAAAACTGCTTGTCGCAGCCCTGGTGGGGAGGAGAGAGGCCACTGTGGCTTTCCCAGGCAAACACCGAGTCCCACAGAGCTTGTCATGTGTCCTTGACAGCACCACCTACAGATGTGGCCATGGTCCTCGTCCCCCTGCCAACCTGTGAAGGCTGCAGTGACCCTCTGCAGAGATCTAAACAAAGTTGACCCCTCCCAGCTGGTCGGCCGATTGGCCAGCTGCCTCAGGACTGCTCTCAGCTCCTTGACTGGCCCTCAGCCCCTCTGAGCCATGGTTTCCTCAGCGGGACAAGACGGGTGACACCAGGGACCGCGGGGGTCAGCGCGTGGACTGTGTGGATGTGACACATGAGTGGTAACACCAGGACCCACCGGGGTCAGCGGGTGGACTGTGTGGCCGGGACACACGAGCGGTAACACCGGGGCCTGCAGGGGTCAGTGGGTGAACTGTGTGGATGGGACAGAGTCCACAGTAGGTGTCCAACAAAGGCCAGCAGGGATGTCACAGGGTCCTGTCCTCACGCCAAGACCCCGAAGCAGGTAGTGACACCACTTCACAGAAGGGATGCTGGGCTCAAAGGTTGGCCTTCAAGTGACACCGAGTCAGTGCTGGCCAGTCCAGGGGCCTCCAAGGCCAGGGTGCAGGGAGGCGCTGGACTACTGGGCTGGTGGGCCTCCTGGTCAGACACAGAGGAGCCTGGAGTGGGTTGAGGGGCCAGGGCAGTCTAGTGGGGACGGCGATGGCCATGCAGGTGGCTTACCCAGGGCCAGAGGACATGGGGCGTCTGGAACCAGGCAGCCCGCTCCCGCACGTTGGCTGCCAGGGTCTCTGCATAGAGGTCAATGTTGGCTGGGGTGACGGGCTCACTCATGTTGGGGTACACCCCATCTGGAGGTGGCTCCGGGAAGACAGCTACACCATTCCAGTAAAATCCAGACCTGCAGGAGAGTGGAAGGTCAGGGGGTCTCCTGACCGACAGTAGGGGAAGGGAGCGCCCTAGGATCCGGGGACCCCTCCATGGTCAGGGAGGGTCACGTCAGGGAGGCACACCCAGGTGAGTGAGCCCTACTCCAGGGTCAGGGAGTCATACTCAAGGTCAGACTCCACATTAGAGTTAAGGAGTCACATCCAGGGTCACAGATCTTCCTGTCAGGGTCTCGGAGCCCCACTCAGGACGACAGAGACCCATCCAGAGTCACAGAGACCATGTCAGGGAGGCCTCCTCCTGGTCACCCATGCAGGTCTGCTCCCTGTCTGCTTGGCCCTCAACCTGCCTGCCCTCACCCTCCTCCCGGCCTGCCCTCACCCTCCTCCCTGTCTGCTTGGCCCTCAACCTGCCTGCCCTCACC